AAGCTGCGAAAAAGAACCAAGTCTTATTTGATTGGAGATATATACGTCTATATATTCAAAATTTTGTGGCTGACAAAGAGTTAGTGGGAGACTAGTATAGCTATTTCAGGCTCATTTGCCCTTATCAACTAGTCACACCCTTCAGGGATTCGAACCTGGGCAGCTTGCATGTTAGGCAGCTGTATTACCCTTTTGAGCCACAGGTTCCCCCTTACTCCTGTCAGCAGAAACCAGGGAGGGTATATATCTTATCTGTTGGGTGAGACACCCGGTCTACCAAATATAAATCAGTCTGTTCTGTGTTTCACTGCAATCTAGGAGCATGTTTTGCAGGCAGACCTCACATACTGTGAACACTATAAATTCAAAATTTTGTGGCTGACAAAGAGTTAGTGGGAGACTAGTATAGCTATTTCAGGCTCATTTGCCCTCATCAGCCAGTCACACCCTTCAGGGATTCTATATATAAATGGATCACACATTATGTAAACCTTAATGTTTATTTAGCTTTGGCTTAGCATGTTGTGTGAACCCAGCTTATGAACAGTATCTTGTGATTTAGCAGCTTATTTGAATTCAGTTGCAGTAAGCTACAAAATACTGCTGCCCTCATACATTCCATTATAAACATGAAAGATTGGATATTCTTGCTTAGTATAAGGATTTTAAACTAACTTTGTTCATTGAACACTTTTAACATTAACAAATGTTAAGCCAGTGTTTTTACAGTCTACTGCATCCTTCTTCAGTGGGGCTTCCCAGATATGTTAGACTGCTCATGTGACTGCATTTTGGGCACTCTGCAGCCGACCCACATTTATGGCCATTTGCGGTGTCCTTTGGTCACATGATTGCAATTTATGATGTTTTTGCTGAAAACCAGTATTTTCCCATAATGAACAATCGGATTGCCTTAACAATTGCCACAGAAAGGGTATAAAATGGGTCTAGTCATGGTGACCCACTTTATGTCTCACAAGTTATGGCCTTGATGGGCAGGCTCCATTGTTAATTGAGGATTACCTGTATAATATATTCATGCAGTAGTAAAATATTAGGGAATGAAATAAAAGGAGATGTCTGTGTGCAGATAGTATTTTGTTAGGCTCCACATGTGTCACTTACAAATTTAAAGATACTAAAAAAACAAAACCACTTATCTAAAATTGTGTTTGTTAGCCCCTTCTCTAACAAAGATCTTGATAAAAATGCATTAAGACTAATCCAGACCCTTCACTAGGATCAATTTAGCCATTAACCATTGGGAACATTTATATAGTATGATTTTTTTCAGATGGATTAGGCTTCAATTTCTGTAATTATCTAGCCATAAGCCAGTCTGAAAATTATGGAAGTTGAAGTCCACCAGGAACCCTGGTGATGCAGTGGTTAGAATGCAGTATTGCGGGTAAATTGCCCACAGCTTGCAGTTCAATCCTGACAAGGCTCAAGGTTGACCCAGCCTTTCATCCTTCCAAGGTAAAATGAAGACCCAGATTGTTGGGGGCAATATGCTGACATTGTAAAACCACCCAAAGAGTACTGTAAAGCACCATGGGGTGGTATACAAGTCTAAGTGCTATTGTTGCTATTGCTAGATTGGATATTTGGATCTGCAGTGTCTTTGCATGGGAATAATAGCTTTCACGTACAGTTAGGCCTTGCTGAACGTGGCAGGTGCTCTTTTTATGTTTCTGCTACATGTTTTAAGCCCTTCAGGCATCTGTTATGAAAAATAACTTTGTTATTTATTCTTGTTCTATGGGAATAAAAAGGAAATATTAACACTGTAAATGTCAGAATTAAACTTTGTGCTGGAACAGTTCCTGTGAAGAAATGTCAGACTTATGTGCTTGGCACTAACAGGTGCTTTAAAATTGTTTTGAAGCTTTTAGTTTCTCAATTTCTAAAGTAAGATCAGGAGTTAACAACAATAAAAGTATATACCTAGATTTAAACCTTGGAATTGTTGATGGTGTTTTGTTCTATGTTTCAAGTTTTTGGTACATTCAATCTTAAAATAGTATAAAAAAGACTGCAATTTTATGCAATTTTTACAGATTCTTCTGAGTAGCAAGATCTTCATTTGGTCTTTGTGGTTATGGAGATGGCTTTTCTAATCAGAAAAGGGATTTTATTATGGTATCTCATTGCTATTACTATTGTAGTAATTACCATTACTATTGTAATTACAATTTATATTACATTACAATTACTATGGTATCTCATTACTATTACTATTATGGTATCTCCCCATTGTATTGTCCTTATACAACTGCCATTACCTTTCAGAAAAATATCATTAGCTGTACTAATCGGGGGCAAACTAAGGAATGACAGAGCCAGATGAAGAAATTCATACCAAAAATAGTTAATTCTTAAAATACCAAAAGACTTGATTGCTTTAATAATTCTTCCAGAACTGTCCACCGTTCAATACTGTATGCTGTGGAGTAATTTCAGTATGCATCCAATAATTGGGAAATTGTCTTAATCATTGTAATTGGAAAAAACTAAAATATACAGCCTAGTAAGAAATTACTTTTGCTAATAAATTGGCATGTTGACCTGATACATGCACCTTGAGCTGCATTATTACATTATGGTTTAGTATTATGTATAACCTCAGCTCTTTCAGGTCCAACTCCATTATATATAACCTGCTCTAGATGATAAAGTTATGTACAAGGGGTCAATCAATCTGTCTTAACAATATGAAAAAAAATTATATGTAATATGTTGGTAAATCACTGGAACAGCTTTTTCAGAGTTGTCTAACAAGATTATGCAGTATCAAATCATTGTAGAATTATTACAGTTTCCATTATGTATCCTCTGACACACCCACAACCAATGGTAATGCGAAACAGATAACGTAGGTTCTGAAATGATTAAATATTTTTGTTTCCAACCTCAATACAACTCTGTTGGGGAGTTACAAGATAACATGAAAAGGATTTATGGAAAATATTGAAATAAATGTAGTCAAACTTTAGTAAAAGCCTCTGATTAAAAAAAATGGATAATGGAGAAAATGAAAGAAGGCTAATATCCATTAAGATAAATTATATTTGAAAGGGCAGCTACTGTATTTACTCTCTGCAAATACTAAAAAAGATTGTCTTTCTGTATTGAGCGATACAGCACTTTCAAACTACTATTTTAAAATGGAACCAAATCAAAAATCTCCATTTATTATAGTTCCACTAAAGTATTAGTTATAAATTGATAACTAATAAAAGATATGAGTGTGCCTTCGCTACCAAAATTTGCTATAATGTTTCATTTTACTCTGTTAAATTTTAATTATAATTGATAACTGTTTTACTGCTAGCTTTACTTTTTCCTTTAGATTATTAAGGTCAACTGTAAAATCAGTTTCAGTCATATATCATTCCATCTACTTAAATGAAAAAAGTAAGAAGTACATGAAATAAAATTTCATTTATTTTCAATACCCTTTGGGGGAAATATGTATTTGTGTTAAAGACTTGGGTTTGCTTGGGTAAAAACCAGTGTACCCTTAAAGGTGCTTCCAGAATATGTTAAACATACTAGCCAACCACAATTTATCCTAGCATATTATACCAGTGGTTCAGTATAACATGGAAATCCAGGACACTGAAATAATTTACTGAACCAAGACTTGGATAGATAGGAATGGATAGACAATGTATATATAATATTTGTACAACCTTAGAGTTATTTGTGAAGAGATCATTTACAATTGTAGATTATATCTCTGTGTGAACACTTTTCTCCTAGGAAATTAAATACAGAAAAGTCAAAATGGGATATAAAAGTGAAATCTCTTTCAAGTCAAGCTTGACATTTGACATGCTTATTTTGTTTCCTTGGAAAAATACAGGGGTGATTTATGCTGTCTTCTGGGATATTTTTTTTGACATCATTGAAAAATTAAGCTCTGCTTCTATTGTTTGTTTTAAAGCCAGTTGCTCATTACTGTAGTTCTACTTTGCATAGGTATGCTCTCCGGAAAAACTGGACAACAGAGGAGAAAGGTGTCTATGATCGTCTTCAAAAGACCTTAAATTGGAATAGAATAACAGACTGGCAGAGATGTCAAAACTGTACAATCTCTATACAAACTAAAATAATTGATTTAAGACTTCCCCATCTGCCAGGCTCCTATGAAAATCTGCTATAGAATTGGTTTTTTCTAACATTTGGAAATTCCACAGAAGGAATAGATTCCAATGACAAATCAGCTTAAAAAGTTTGGGAACTATTGGGAGGGGGGGAAAGGCTTCAAAAGCATTGATGCTAACCCACCCCATACCCACATTATAAATATCATAGTAAGAATACACTAAGGAGTTTAAGCATTAACTCTTTATTTTAAAAATGTATGCTTCTCAACCCCTTGATTTGGGTTTTTTATAGCAATAATTGCATTGTAAAATCCACAGTGATATAAAACTGAACAGCCTAGATTGAATTATTTTGGAGTCCATTCTTAAACTAATAAGGAGGCCCTTTTGCATCAGTTTGCTCCATATTAAAGACTGCAGCACCACAGGAATAGACTTAACTGTTCCTATTAAATGTATCTGTGGAGGATCCATGAAGGATACTTCACTAACTACCTAAGCAGGAGATGGAAAGCAATCAGTCCTGAGGTTAAAAGCCCCAAGTCAAATAATGTGTCATGGTTCCGACAGACACATTAAAGAATCTTTTATTCAAGAAACAAAGTATCAGCACTACATAAAGCCAAAACTGAATTCCCCTCTCCTGAGCACAATTCCCTCCTCCAATTAACAGTCATAAATCACATTACCCAATTAGCTTGAAGCATGGGCTTTCTCCCCAGCTCTCCAAATCTTTATCAACTCTGGGCGCAATAACCTTGGATTCCCACGGCTGAGTTATTATTATGACTAACTGGACTCTCATCCATATTCCCGCTCCCAGCATCAACTAACTCTAAAAGCAAAAGAGTAAAATGGCTGCATTTCCATCTGTTGTCAAAGCAAGAACATCCGATGTTAGCAGCATTGACATCATGCCTGTATACTTTAGTGAGTCCCTTGACATGGTAGGAAAGCAGCTGTTAACCAGGGTAATCACATATCCTCCAGGATGATTTGGCAACGTTTGTTTCCATACAAAGGAGTACAGCCTTCATAATAGTAGCCCATGTGTCACACACACATCTCCTAAATGATGCCCATTAACCTGTCAAACTCACTTTCACAGACAAATTAATGAAGGAATGTGCAGAGCCTATGGGCAAGGCTTTTCCAGTTCCTGCTCCCTCATCACTGGATTCACTAAGGCTTAGAAATAGGTACCAAACTAACTTCAATGTAAGATGATTTATATGAATAATAATAATAATAATAATAGTAATAATAATAGTAATAATAATAATAGGTTTCTGTGAAGTTTTTGAAAATTCTTCTCAATTTAAGAATTTAAGAATCTCATTCTGTAATGGGGATAAATAAACTTTGAAAATCAAAGAAGATTTTAAAAGGTTTGATTTTTTAAAATGCAACTTTGATCTTGGTTTCGCCTTTATTCATGCAAGGGGAAATAATTTCTCCCATAGCATCCCTCAATTTATTTCCCTCCCCTCCAAAATTCCATACCATTTATAAGAGCAACTTTTGTGAAGGCAGAAGATGAAGCTGTGGAAGGGAACTTGATGAAAGCATCCACTTCAGTAAGTACAATTGTGTTCCATCAGTGATAGGAATTTACAATTCAATGTAATGCATTTTTTCATTCAGTCTAATGCCTAAATACATTTTGACAGGGCTGTTTTATTTGTCCTTTTAATATTCCTATGGCTTTTCTGAATTCAGAATTTTGTGGCTCCAAGATATCATAAAAAACTCTATATTTATCAAAGCTGCGTCTGATGAAGAGTAAATCATCTACGGAATATTCATCATCCTTTCCAGTCCAAATGGTTAATGTGTACCTGGAAGAAGAATCACCAAAGTTAAATTATTTCACAGATATCTAAAGTGGGTATTACAATAAAAGTAAATGCCAAAACTTCAATCGTGTTATTTTCACATAATGATGGTTCTATCAAATGAAAGCTTTCTTTCATTTGAAAGAGTGTTTTACTGAATTCACATATTTCATGACAGTCATATCAAAATTCATGAATCTACTGAAAAAAGGTGAGCAGCTTTATTAATATAATGGTTGGCTTCAGACAATAATTTCCACCTTCATAAATCAAAGGTCAGTGTTTTGGGGTGGGGTTGGCTTAAGGCCAAGGAAGATGTGGATGTATCATTTGGGTAGAGAAGCTGAGGTTTCTTTGTTTTTGTGTTTTCTAGTGATAAGTCTATTTTAGTGCATAGTTGATGGTTGCATTTCCCCTTGCAAAAATGATGGTACCTTGCTATTAATATTCAGCATCTATAGTCAGACTCTGAAAATCATAAAAGGAAATTTGACGATGGCTGGTTGCCCATCCTGATATAAGGTACAGCAAGAACAGTAAATGAAAATTGAACACTTCTGCACTAGCTTTGTTGAAGCAAACGTTGACCAATGGATCATCTGGTGGTGGCGCAGTGATTAGAATGCAGTAGTGCAGGCTAATTCACTGCTCACTCCAGGAGTTCAATTCTGAATGGCTCAAGGTTGACTCAGCCTTCCATCCTTCCAAGATTGGTAAAACAAGGACCCAGATTGTTGGGGGCAATAGGCTGACTCTGTAAATCACTTAGAGAGGGCTATAAAACACTATGAAGTGGTATATAAGTCTAAGTGCTATTGCTATCTTACATCTGCTTTGTGTACATTAATTGGAAATATGTATTTTGTCAATTTCCAATCATTTCTGAAATCTTTTATATATTACAATATTCAGTTAGTGCAAATCATACCTGTCTGATTGCTGTAGTAACCACAGAAGTTCAGATATTGACCGACAAACCAAATCAGCTCTTACAGCAAATGTGATTGGCTGAGTACGATCTCTACATATTGCTGCCATTTCTTGTACCATGGCTAAACTGTAACCTAAAGAAGGAACAAATGCTATAGTACTCAGATATGGAAGGTGAATTTCTGATAGCTAAGCTGTTCACTTCTAATTATTAATTACTCAGAAATCCTTTTTTCTGGAATGAGGAGGAATAGGAAGAGATAACGAGCACTGATGGGAAAGGGAAACTTTGATTCTTGCAAATCCTGTTCTCTGCATTTAAAAAAGATAATGTGTAGTAATGTAATATAACTGAACATATCCAGAGGATCCATTGCTTTTGTCAAAACTATGAATGTGCATCACTGCCACTCCACAAATTCTGTCTCTTTTGTATGTGCAGGTGACATGACAGCTTGTGTAATGTCAATATGACCCTGCTTATATCATTTTCAATCCCCTTGCCTCCCTAAGATGCTGCTGGGTATAATATATTTTAAAATATACTGTAAGGGAAAGCTTTAGTTGTAATGCCTTGCTGTGGTATTTGAAATTAATGTGAAAGATATGGGATCAAAGAATCGTTTTGATATAAATATTAGCCATGTCAGATTTATATGCACTTCTTGAAAATTACATGAGTAAAGGAGAGGGGGAATCATGATTGTAATAACAGTTTTGCCATCTTGGTTATTCTCCATGTGTTGAACTTTAGTCCTCTGTGTGCAGTGACCCCAGTGTAAAAAGGTCACCTGAAGTAGCTATCTAAAGATGTCTTGCCCTGATTGCAGAACAAGGTGAATTGCACCGTATTTAAATGTAAAGCATTAGCACTGATTTGCATTACCTGTATTGCATTTTGAATTAATTCTCCCAGTAGTCCATCCCAAAGATAAAGTTACATCTGGAAAAGATGAAATCACTGTGTCCAGGAATCCCTTTGCATCTACGACAGGGTGATTTCCTTTTGGTCCTAGAAGTATGTCTGCATTTATCCAAATAGGTTGCCTAAGTTGCAGATCTCCAAGAAGCTTCATTGAGGGATTCACAGCTTCTAGGCTATAAACAAGATAATACATTTTAAAGTATTTGGTGAAAAGATGCAGTATATTTTTCACCGATTATCAAAATATTGGAAATGCAAATGTGGCAGGAAGAAATGTTTGGATTTTTTTTTAAGTTTTAAAATTTGGGAAAGGGTTAATAGTAAAATTTGGCGGTTTAAGCATGCAAATGGTTAAAAAAAAACCATTCTACTCCTCAGAAAAAATCAGGACAATTATCCCCTTTTTTGTAATTTGTAATTTATCTCCTTTTAATGCCCACAAAGTTCCCAAAATTATAAACTTTCATATGTGACAATAATTCTTGATTCCAAAATTTCAACATCTATATACAGGAACTTGGTTACACCAGAAATTTAACAAAATGGCACAGCTAGGTATGTTTTTTTATTGAAAAGCAAAAAAATATCTAATGAGCTTGGACACTATACAAAGATAGCAAGACACACAATACCAGAATGTTAAGTTTGATGCTATCAAGGAGGGAACAGGGATTTCTTTTTATGCATGCATGCTTACTGTAGGATTTAAATTCTAAGATGTTTTTCTTGGTTTTTGGCTTCTATCTTCACTAATTCTTCATTTAAAAAAAAACAGAAAAGGTCACAGTAGGTGTTTTTTTTTAAAAAAAAAAAGAGAAAAGAGTTTCAGGGTTGTAGCACCCTCTACTGATCAGGAAAAAAAAGATTGTTTGAAATAACAGGAATTTTGCTATTACTTTATTTCATTTTCTTTATTAAGTTTTCAAAATTAACAAAATAATGAAATAGCAAGTAAAGATAACAAGTATAAAATAAAAACTTGTGCAGTGAGGTCCTTAGTTTGTCGCACGGAGCTCTGTTGTCCTTGAGGTGGCAAATTATACACCCAAGTCACACACATTCAAAGGATTTTCAAATCCATGAAGCATAGTGAAACTTCATATACATATTAAGTTAAACATGATTACATGTATAGAAGCATCTTTTATTTGTAGTGTCATTTATTCCAATTACTGGTGACTTATTTTGAATTATTTCAAAATACAATAATAGACAAATACTGACAGTTGCGATATTTACTTACCTAAAGAGATAAACAGAATGACCACAGGTGAGCAAAAAAGCAGTGGCAGCAGGAGCAACATCTCACTTCCTGCTAGCTTCCCCACTGACTTTGCTTGTGGGAAGCTGGCAGGGAGCATTTAAAATCATAATCACGTCACTAGGGATGCCCATGGCAGCGCTGCCATGGCCACAAGTTTGCGAATACAGCTTACACAAAAGAACGTTATAATAAAAATAATCCACATTTACAACTTGTGAATGGAAAGACAGAGACAAGAATTGGATCAAGTGAAGTAACTATTACATGAATATTGAAAATACGTGCACACAACCATTAAATGAATTATTTGCTGATGTTGTATTGTAAAAATATATTAAATACTTGCCATGAGGCTAATTCTTCCCAGTCAAAATTTTGGCATTAGTCAGCTACCTTATTTTAGCTTTTGATTACTAGGGTTTCTTTCAGCACTTTAATGATAGGTCCTGCAGGGTAATACTAAAAATGCAATTCTTGGCATACATACATAGATGTCATTACACTTCATAATGTATGTGTTGGTAATTGTTTGACCAATAATTGCTTATTCAATAATATAGTGGTTAATTATTTAAAGTCTGAAATGTATATATATGTGTGTGTGTATACTTTCTAAATTACCTTTTAAAATCAAGCTTCATCCCTTTATTGGTGCTTTTAATTTCATTTAACCATTCTTTGAGTGTGTTATCACTATTTGTTTCAGGTGGATGAGCCATGACTGGGTGATTACCATAAAGCAGGACATCTGCTTCTATCATGTGAGCAGCACCTATTAATTTCCAAAACAAGGGCAGAAAAAGAAAAAAATAGTAATAGTTTTATCTAAAAAGCCATTTGTAGCAAAGCGTTTATTTTTTTCCACTTATATATCCCATGAGAACTAATAAAAGGAGCTATGTGGAACTTACAACCTATTAAGGAGTGATGGAGATAAATCACTAAAGAATCATCAGAAAATCTGCATCTTTCAAATTTATTTTCCCTTTTACACCAGGGAGAATGATATTAACTAAAGAATGTAAGAATAATTTCTCCCTCCCGTTAATATGTATTCACATTACTTATGTTGTCTGTTGGGAAGGCAATAGAACAACTTAAAATATGAACTTTAAGCACCTTCTATTGCTTTAAAATGCAAAATGGAAATTGTTCAGAGGGCAGTTAATTGGGAAAAAAACACTGTTTTCTCTGCTTTGGGTATCAAATCATTTAATTTCTCATTTCTGTTTTTAGGATAAGCAGTTTAGCTGCTTATGTCAGGCCCAAGTCCCAAACCAACACAGTGAAATCCGATGAAGTCCAATTCTTTATTTGCTTATCCTGAACCTCTTCCTCCCTCCCCCATTCAGTTTAAGACTCTGCTGTCTCTTATTTTGGGCTTATTTGTACTCTTTGGCAGTGATTTCACAAAGGAATGCCTTGCTTTTTCAGCCAGTCTGCAATTCCCTTTTTCTTCCTTGAAAGATTGCTGTGATAAGGGAGTTCATCTGATGCACAATTGCTTTGGAACAATTTTGGATTAAGTCTGCTCCTCAATTTGAAATATGAAATATGTAATAGAGTGTGGGTTTGCAGAACATACTAATCAAGAAGTTGGTGAAACTAATATGTTATCCAGTTCCAAATTGGGATTAATTTATGACTCAATGGATTGTGTAATTAGAGAAAATTAGATCACGTAAACCATGTTTCTTAAGACCTTGGCTAAAACTATTATGTGAATGTGATTGTAATCTGACTTTTTTGTCGGGAAAAAGGTTTATAGTGGGGTATATAACTATATAACACATGTGAATGAACACATTAAGCAAAATGGAATAAATGCACTGCACATTGTACAATTATATTTTTCAGATTTTGTCTCTAAGCATAAATATTTTTTTCCTGATAATGCTGCCAGTAAATTCACTATCTTTATAACAGATTACTTTAAAAAAAAGCTTATTCCCCCTAAAAAACCCTCTGCCACTTCCATCAAACTAAATTCAATGTTGTGATTTAACTCTGCTTTGCTTTTTAGAATTACTGAAATAAAATACTACTATATTGTATTAAGTATTTTCCAATACTTACCCTGTATTGCCTCTTTCATGTGTTGCTTACTGTTTGCTCTGTGATACCAAATGATTTCAGCTCCATCTCTTGATTTAATTTGCTTGGTATTCAGAAAATAATCTAATATATTTTGACTCCAAAATCCTATGTGGAAAACATTGGCAGTAATAATTTCATATAAGGGACCTAGTTATTTCATTTCTGTTCTATTCTCTATTAATTTAGTAGCTACTCCCTCAGAGGGCAGGATCAAAATCAATGGATTAAAATGATTTCTAGATTGTATCAGCTGTCAGCCAGTGGAACAGGCAGTCACATGACACGATGAATTTTCTTTCATTAGAGGTCTTCAAACAGAGGTTCAATTGTTATCTGTAAGAGATGCTCTAACACAGAGGTCCCCCAACCTTTTGGGCACCACAGACTGGTGCAATGGAGAAAGGTTTTTCCGTGGACCAGAGGGGGTATGGTTTTGAATACTGCCTGTATCCTGAGGATGGAGCTTTGCTTGTTTGTGCAGCCCGCTTGCTGGCATCCTGTGAACTAGTGCCAGTCCACGGATGGGGGGGAGGTTTGAGGACCCTTGCTGTAGCATCTCAAATTCAGCACTTTAAGATGGGTGGACTTAGCTACCAGAATTCCCTAGCCAGAATGCTGGAAGTTGAAGTCTCTCCATCTTAAAATTGCTGAGTTTGAGAAACAGTGTGCGAACAGATCCTTCACATCCTCTATGAATCTTCTCGGTATAGGATCCATGAGATCTGCAGTTCAAAGTTAATTTCAGGGACAATGAATGATAGTTGAAATTCTGCTTTAGCCCTGAAAACACAAAGATAGCTAGAGTCCAATCTGTTTCAATCTGAGTAATGTAAATTGGGAGGGAGGGAAGGAGGAGTCATAGTATTCTTCCTCTGGGGTTGGGCAATAGGTGGTGATAATTTTGCCCACACTGAGAGAGGGGGAGGAGAAAGGGCGCCAGCTTCCCTTGCTCAGTAGTAGGATACGGGCACAGTCAAGATGAGTTCACCGTGGTCCCCAGTTGTCCCTAATCCCTTCCTTATTAATGTTGAGATGGAAGTCAGTTTAGGAAGAGGCTTTCAAGGGACGAAAGCATCTAGGGTTGCCAGGTCTGCTTCCAAAAAATAGCGGACAAGCGGGGGGGGGGGGTTAAGTAGTAAAAAAAGTAGACTGTACAGCTTTAGATTACGTACCATTTCATCATAAAGCTTTTGAATAAAAAAAATGTCCACTATTTTGTGAAAAAAAATAGTGAACATAATGTGAAAAAATTGGACTGTCCACTCAAATAGTGGACACCTGGCAACCCTAAAAGCATCTTGCGTTTCTTTTCAATCTCTGCAATCTCTGATTGCATTATTTATAGTGTATATAATAAGGTGTTCTACAACTTAGGGTATTTGGTTTTAATAGTCCAATATAAATGAGCAAATAAATGATCCTGATCCAGCGATCAAGTCATAAGAGCAACTTCCGCAAGAGATCGCACCATTTAGCTAACCAAAGCCGCTCCGGGATAGCTCTACACCCTCTCGGGGGCTCCAAGACCAAGGCAACGAGGAAGGGGGGAAAGAGAGCGGGTACCTTCCACATCGCCGCGCGCGGACCCTCCGTCGTCCGGTCCTCCTCCCCCTCCGTCGTCTTGCATGTCCGACTTCGGGTCTTACTCAGACCCCTCCACCGCCCGCAGAGTTCGCCCTTGCCTTTTTGAGGCGTGCAACCGGTTCTCTCCGCAGCATTGCCGGGGCCTTCCGGCAAGCGTTCCGCATCAGGGCTCGCCGAGGCCGACTTCCGAGTGCGCAGGCTTTGCCCATCGCCCGCCTCCGCCTTTGCTCCCCGCAGAGCGACGGCGAGACTTATTCGCGAATTTGCCTCGCTGCTCTTACTTTTCTAATTTGACCAGCTTTGAAATCTGTGGTTAGGGATTTTTTTATTAGCGAAATAGCTAAATCAAAAGGATTTAGAAGTTATGGATTCATGTTGATGCCAGCTCCCAACTGGCAGAATAGCTCTATCTTTATGATGCATCCGGGTTTAAATCCCGGCTCAGCCATGAAGCTCAAGAGGGACACCTGCTGCCTTTTACAGATTGATTTTATCATAGTTTACAACTGGCAACTTTAAGACTTGTGGACTTCAACTCCCAGAATTCCTCAGCCAGCTTTGCTGGCTGAGGAATTCTGGGAGTTGAAGTCCACAAGTCTTAAAGTTGCCAAGGTTGAGAACCCCTGCTCCAGAGTTTTATGAAAATGTAGACACTGAACCCTGAAATAGTTTCTCTGCCAAATATCCCATTTTTGTAAATGTGCTTGATAGTTTATGAGGATTAGTAAATGATGATCCGGTAATTAAAACTGTAACCTGCATCTTTGGAAAAACTTCCCCCTTGCTATTTGGGATTTTTGCAGCCATGCTTTCCAGTTTGCTTATTTAATAGTATTTTAGAATGAAAAGTGCCAGAAAGTGCACAAAGCTATCATAATTGCAAAAGAATCATGGGCACCCAGGATCCTGTTGCTAATATCTAATGGATACTGCAGATAGCAAGGGAGTTTGACAAAAATGTCTACTGATTTTCTAAAAGCTTTGAACTGTGAGGGCATGTGGACAGTCCATGAAAACATGCATGTATAAGGCTACCTGCCTAAGTGAATAATATGTACTACATGATGATCAGGATGTAACAATATGGGATATCTAAATGGGTCAAAAGTGGGAAAGGAATGGGCCATGATTGGATGCTTTTAATTAGTTAACTTATATGCATAATATATCATCATACACACCAGATTTGAAAAACAATAATTGTAATTAAAATTTGTGGGAGAAACATAAACCACAGAAATGCTGATGATGCCTCTTGAATGGCTGGAAGAAAGGAAAGCTAAAGGAATCCATTGTTGACAAATAAAGGGGGAAAAAGAGTACAAAAGCTAGTGTCTCCTCAATATTAAAAATACTCAAGATAGTTAACAGGAATGGTAAATCAAGGCAAATAGCCTGGAGAAGTAAGTTTACTTAGAGAGGGACGGTGACTGTAGACCAGGGATCTTCAAACTTGGCCCTTTTATGATTTATGGACTTCAACTCCCAGAATTCCTCAGCCTGGCTGGGAGTTGAAGTCCACAAGTCATAAAAGGGCCAGGTTTGAAGACCCCTGCTGTAGACATAAGAGAGACATCTGGTACTTGAGACAAACTATGGCAAATCTAAGTAAATGATTAAAGAGCAGAGACATCACATTGACAACAAAGGTACATATTATCATAGCCATGGCTTTTCCCAGTTGCAATATAGACAAATAACTTTGAATTGTGATGCTGTAGAAAACTGAACACTGGATTCCCAAGAAAAACAATATTAGATGAAGTAAAATCAAACTGCTGTGTGAAAGCATTAATAATAAACCCAAAAATCAAAAATCAAAGACAATCAGAAAAGAGGGCAAAAAAATACAAGATGATTAGATGTTATCATTGATAAAAACTTACAAGAATTCAAAACAGCTATTAACTGAACTAGAAAAATGTTTATCAGGTCAATCAGCAATAATTGAACAATACTGTAATACTGATTTATATAATATATATATCATTTTTCATGGTTTGTCTTTTGATATAAACATTCAGAAATGTGGACTTGAAATTAAAAGCCCCTGTAAATGTTTATGAATAAAGTTAGGATGCTTTGTGGAATTTAAAGATGGATAGAATTATAACTTGAAAAGTAAATATTTTATGAAAAGCAGCAGTCCCCTCTCCTTAGCAGTATCTCTAACATACTGCCTGATAGTGCTCTTTTAAAATGCTCAGCATGATTTGCAAATGAAGTCAATGAATAAGCATGGTAAGCAGCAGAATGTTGATTTCCTGACAACTTTTAAAAAAAAGTTCAGCATAACATTTATAAATTCTTGAGCTGATGAAATATTTAAAACCATAAATTTTGGCTAGCAAGAAAAAAAAAGGAAGATACATTAGGGTATTTATTTCACATTCCTATAATTTGGAAACATAACCTGAGCTACCTCCTTGCTTTATTGCACTAAGCCAGGGGTGTCAAACTCGCAACATCATATGATGTGTCGCGATGTATCGTGATTTTTTTCCCATTGCCGGCAATGGGGTGGGCGAGGTTTTGGCATATGCATCCGGCAGCAGCTTGACACCTCTGCACTACGCAATAAAGAATCTTAGTTGCTTGGTAAGAGTGTAGTTATCTGTAATCTTTAAAAATAGGGAAATAGATAATGCCCCACTCATGAATAGGATGAATTGAAGCAATATTTTGAATGTGCAATTAATTAATTAAAGCTATACTTAATTAAAAATGATAGACATTTGTGTCTTTATCAGAAATCAGCAGCAATCCTGTCAAATGATGATTAAAGTATTAATGCTGGAAAAGAAAATGCTGGGGAACTGAAGTCCAGAGTGAGTAGATAATTCAGTGACCAGAAGAAACACAACCAATTACTATGCAGTAGAGGTAGATTTTATGCCAGTGAAAATATGGTCAGTTTTTAAATACAGTCATAAAACTATTATGAAAAATGTTTGAAGAAAGTACAAGAGACAGTAGGAAATAGCCTACTGCAGACCTAACTATCAGATAAGATGAAAGCAAAGCGAGTGAGAGAAAATGGGAAAGTATGTGGTTAGGCAGAGAATAGCTGAAATGTTTACAGGTGATGTGGAACATGGGCCAAAAACACCACTGGGTCAGTGGAGTATGTGACTGTGCCAACTATGTTTGGTAATTTCAACTAAACCTAAAACAAATTTTGAGGTATAACCCTTTTGCTTACCTAACACATTATAAAAGATTGTAAGGTAATCATAATGATTGAATTCATACACAGTGCTGATTTAACTTCATTTACTGAATAAATCATGGTTCACATAATAAAACCAAATAAACTACATAATGACAGAGCTTTCTCCACTAATTACAATACCATCCATCCATTAATGCTTAGCAGAAAATTATGCTGTTGTGACATGTTATTCCCAATCCTGGCTCTAGTCATTTTGAGTGACAATGCCTAACAGATTTGTACATACCTTGAGGTCATCTTTGGATGGTCCCACTTATGAACTGCAGATGAATTGCAGGCAACAAGAGGAAGACTTGCCATAAAAAAAAGATGTCAAGGCCTTGTCAGAGAGCAACAGAGGGCCTCTATCTAGGACCATTTAACTTTATTTTCCATCCAACTGCCTCAAAAGCATATTCCAACATAGTGAAGGAAGCACTTTTATTTAAAATAAAATATCTAGATTCTTTTAGGTATGTAAAATTAGATGTGAAGTTCTTGCAATCTCACATTTTATTATTTATGCTTTCAACGCAGTCATAAGTCTGCTTTATTACAGCAGGTTATTCAGCAAGTTTTCAGTAATATGAAATAAGATATCACTCCCAATTTTAATGAATAGAAAGAGCCATTAAATTAACTGAAAAATTAAATTAAAAGAAACGTTATCTAATTTAAACCAAATTAGTGGATCAGATTTAGACTTCAGTAAGGCATTTGACAAAGTAGACCACAGCCTAATTCTTGGTAAGCTAGAACAATGAGATATAGACCATACCCCTGCTAGATAGATTCACAACTGGCTGACCAACCACACTGTAGTCCTCACTGGAACAACATCCACCTTGAGGGAAGAATGCGGTGGGGTACCTCAAGGTTTTGTCTTAGGCTCAGTACTCATCAACATTTTCTTAAATGATCTGGACGAGGGGACAGAAGGGGGATTCATTAAATTCGCAGACACCACCAAGCTGGGGGGATTAGTCAACACTTTGGAAGATAAACTCACGATTCAGAAGGATCTTGGCAGACTTGAGCATTGGGCCCAATCCAACAAGGTGCAGTTCAGTAGTGAGAAAAGTAAGATCCTGCACTTAGATACAAATGCATATATACAGAATAGGCAGTGTGAGAAGGATTGGACCACCAATCGGGTATGAGCAAGCAGTGTGCTGCAGCTGCCAAAAAACTAATGCAGTCAAAAACTGCTTCAGCTGAAGGATAGTATCAAGAGCATGTGAAGTGATTGTACTGCTTTATACTGCACTAGTGAGACTACACTTGCAATATTGCATCTAGTTCTGGCCACCCTAATACAAAAAAGATGCTGAGAACCTAGAAAGATAGAGAAGAGCAACAAAGATAAGGGTCTGGAAGCTAAACTACGATGAATGATTGAGAGAACTAGATATGTCTAGTCTAATAAAGAGGACTATGGATGATATGATAGCCGTCTTCCAGAACTTGAGGGGCTGTTACAGAGATTCACCAAAGCACCTGAGGGCAGAACAAGAAATAATGGATGGAAGATAATTAAAGAGAAAGCCAACTTAGAATTAAGGATAAATTTCCTGACAATGACAGCAATTATTCAGAAGTTGTGGGTGCTCCATCATTGGAGGTTTTCAAGAAGATACTGGGCAACCATTTATTCGCAATCATAGAAGGTCTCCTGCTGGAGCAGGGGATTGGGCTAGATCTCCAGGGTCCCTTCCAACCCTATTATTCTATGTTATTCTAATCAGTGCTATCAAAAGAGCTGCCAACATTTTCATGGAATATCTTTTTAGAAACTTTTAAAAACAGATAAGAAACTGATGAGATTTGACTGAGCTGAATCATTAAAAGAAAACTATCTAAATGATCTAAATAGAGAAATTAAAATGTTTTCTGATTTGTTAAAACATCATGAGCTTAATTTACAAAGTTTTTGACAATCTTTATG